TAGTTAAATTAAATCTCAAGAACAGCTCTCTGAAGTAAAGGACTGCTTTTTATAATAATAGGACATACGGTCATTTTACTGTAAAGGTATATGCGAATGACCTGAAGTAAGAATTGAAGTCTACACAACAGTCTGATCAATGAAATCTGAGTCTGCGGAGGGATGGGGATGGAGAAAGCATCTCAAAAGGGACCTTCGCTAATTTTCAGGAGGGTAAAAGTAAGGGAACAGAGTAAGGGAAGATTTGCAAGATTCTGTTACAGTATTGTAACGTTACAATAAAGTAATGTTAGGACTCCTGGTTACTGTTTCTTGCCTGGACTACTTCAAGGGGCTGACATACCCTGAAACTAGCATAGTTTATATTTCTGCTAGTGAGAATGAAAAGTTTGCCTTAAAAAATCTAAATAGCCAGTTTGTTTTTTTAAATAGTCCCTCTTCCCCAGCTTTTTTCTCCTATAAATTGACTCTGCCACATTTTTTTTCCTACTACATTAAATTTAATTTAAACATTCTTAATTGAGACAGGATCACATTCACGCTTGCACAAGACATCTGTCTGGTTTATGGCTGTTGCCTGTATCTTTTCTATCACAAAGGACAACTGCAAAGGGCACTCCCATGGAGCACAAGTACTGTGGGAAGCAAGGGAGAAAAGGGCTGGGGTAACAAAGCACTGTAGGAGCAGAAGGGGTAAAATGCTGAGAGTCCATTCCCTTGGAAACGGCTTGCCTTTCAGCATTGCAAGACGAATCTTGTCAAGAGCAATTTATTCCTTTTATAATTATAGCTTTCCCGGCTGCAGTCCCCTTGGCATCTGTGCTGCTAGGAAATGGGGAGAGAAGCAGATAGTCACACCTTTCCAGGAGATCAACATTCACATCCTTCTGCCACCAGCTGAATTACAGCTTCCAGGACAAAACACAAAAAAGCAAGCCTGGACTAGTTCTTATAATTTTCCCCACGAATCATGGTTTGGGAAATATGATCAGTGCACTTTAAAAACAAAGCAAAACAATATTAACTGCTGCATCATCCCTTAAGAATGTCTGGAGAATTGGAATTGCTATCCGAGACAAAGTCACAACAAACCAACTAGAGTTAGTGCAATTTATTTCACTGCCTAGTTTTTTGCTCGATATAAGCGTGTTATATGTTTGTATCAATTTTTTTTCTTCAATGCTACCTTTGTACGCATGACAAACACATATTTTGTTGTAGAGCACAAAGCTTTTGGACAAGTTGACTTCCTATTGAGGGACGTTGAATAGACAGAATTCCTCTTTTCTCTCCCCCCCCCCAATAATTTCTTATATAACAGTGGTGAAATCCAATTTTTTTACTACCGGTTCTGTGGGCGTGGCTTGGTGGGCGTGGTGTGGCTTGTAAGGCATGGCAGGGGAAGGATACCGCAAATTCTCCATTCCCATCCCACTCCAGGGGAAGGGTACTGCAAAATCCCCATTCCCTCCCCACTCTGGGGCCATCCAAAGATGGCATTTGCCGGTTCTCCGAACTACTTAAAATTTCCACTACCGGTTCTCCAGAATCTGTCAGAACCTGCTGGATTTCACCCCTGTTATATAATCTTTTTAATGTAATGACAGACAGAATTGATTAAAAAAAATAGTTCTTTTATCATTTGGCTACCAGGTGTTTTTCTGTTTGCTGCAAAGACTCATTATTTCGGATAATAAGCATTATTTGAGGGAGATTGTTGAGTAAAGCAACAATCTCCCTCAAAGGCTGGCTTTGGTCTTCTATAAAACTATGGGATTAATTTTAAATAGAGCAACAAAGAGCAGTCAAAAGAGTCTGCCTAATAAAGCCCAAGCAGAAGGTCCACTTGATCTCTTGACATCCTCTCATTCCTGCATGAATTCTGAGCATCTTCTGAAACCCGAGCTCTTATTTTAACTAATATGCAACTAGTAGAAGGAAGATGTCTTTACTGATTTTAATTTAACTGTACGCAAGATAGGTAATGTGCCACATAATCTCAAACAATATCATGGGTTCCCCAGGAAGATCTTATGTTTCTTAATCATAATATAAAATTTAGGATCTGAGTGAGAAACCTGAAGCTCTGTAAATGTTACTGAATATCTGTTCCAAACATTTCTCATGATTAGCCAAGACTACATAGGATTGGTGGGAAGTGTAGCTGAGCATCTTAAAAGCAGGAAATTAAAGGCAGAACATAACTATATCCTCAAACTATTAAAGATTTTAGTAATTTGAGTACTTCTATAAAACTGATAAGATCTGAAGAAAAGTCCTAGCAGACTGCAATGCCCATCTTAGCCCAGCATATTCTTACTCATAGTGCTCTGTCACTGACTATGGTGTACTCACAAGCAGAGGATGGAGGTGCAACTGTCTCCTAGCATTGTTCCCATACAACTGGTAGTTGGAAGATGATTCTTCTCCAGCCCCCACCCCCATCATAGCAAAAAAAAAGAAAGAAAGAAAAAAGATCCAGGAGATAAAGTTACCATCTCCAATGGCCTTTGATAGACCCGTCACCCGTCCTCCATGAATTTATCCAGTACCATTTTGAAGTCATCCAAGTTAGTGACCATCACCATGTTCTGTAGTAATTGATTCCATAGATTCTGTTCTGTGCAAAGAATCCTTTTCATCTCTTCTTCCTATCAGCTTCATTGGATAACTCCTTGTCTTACTCTGAGACGGGGAAAAACATTTTCTTGTCCACTTCCTCCATATTACATTTGTTTTCTTTATACACCTTCATATTCCCCTCCCACAACATTGCCTTTTTTCCTCAAACTAGAGTTCCAAATATTCTAATCTTTTCTTGTAAAGAAGTATCTATATCTCTGAGATCATTTTCATTGTCCCAGAAGGTTTTCTTCTAATATGCAGATTCTTATCCAACTGTGTCAAGTGTTTTGAGTAACCCTGCTAAATTCAAGTCAGTGAGCAGGACACTTAAGATATCTTCTATCATAATGATCACCCAGTGTCAGTATCTCCTGGAAAGATCTCCCAAATCTTTTTTTTTTTCTAATAGCTCAGACAGATCCATCAGCAAATATGTCTTAGGAATGCTGGAAGTATTTTTTTTCTCATAATAAAATAATAATTTATTAAACTTGTATGCTGTCCGATTCATAAAATCAATTCTTTAATGTCACTGCTCCGTCTTCAATAAAACTGGATTCCCAAAGGTTTGTAATTCCCAAATAAGTGGCAAAGCTGGCTCCACTTGTTGATAACTGGAGTAACTCAGTTTTCTTTTTTTTACTTCTCCAACAGAAATAATTCTCAAATCTCTAGTCTGGTACAAAGGATTATCTAAGTTTTCCCATCATTCACTACAGTTTATTGCAGCATTCTGCAATCTGATTTGTGTTGAAATAGGGTTGAAATTTCAACACAAATTTATAGTAATAGTATAATATGGAAACACTAGTGAAATTAACTTTAACTGGATAAATATTCTCCAGATATGTTAACAATGCTCGCTGGAAATTTGCTGGAGTTACTATTTCAACACAAATCAGATTGCGGAATGTGGAAATAAACTATAGTGAATAATGGGAAAACTTAGATAATCCTTATTAAGAAGAAGAAAAAAATGTTTAATTTCTGATAGCAACAACTTTCTTGGTTGGGTTTCACAGAAACAGGCATGGCCCACTCAAATATAGAGAGTCAATGAACATCTTTACATATGGAGCTAACCGTGGTTTTGGCTCTCTTTTTCTAACCTGTCAGGATAGAAAATTCAGGTGTCTCAAGAGGATCTCAGAGATGCTTCCCAGAATACTACTTTAATTTCCATCCTGGGAGCCTAGGTACATCTGGCTAACACTACGGAGTGCACAATTCATCTCTAGCCAATTAAGTACTGAAAACCCCAGTGCAATAGCAAGGCTAATAATGTATGGCACGAGCTGTGGCGGCACAGTGGTTCGAATTCAGTACTGCAGGCTAACTTACTGCTCACTGCCAGGACTTCGATTCTAACCAGCTCAAGCTTGACTCAGCCTTCCATCCTTCCAAGTTCGGTAAAACGAGAACCCAGATTGCTGGGGGCAATATGCTGACTCTATAGAACCACTTACAGAAGGCTGTAAAGCACTGTGAAGCAGTATATAAGTCTAAGTGCTATTGCTATTTCTAATAGAACACTCCATGCATTTCTCCATTTATGACTTAGATTAACAGTTGATTAACTGAATCTAGGCTGGTGTAAGTTGCTGGTTGTTTTAATACAGTTCCAAAACAGAAATGCATGCATGGTCTGCTGTCACAAAGAAGCGATGGTCTCTCAAAGCATGTCTTGCTTGTGGCTTTTGAAGAGAAACCTGATTGGTTAATGAAGAAATAACACTTGGTTAAATAGACTTCGTTTGAATATTTTCGTAAAAGTAGGTGGTATGCTAGCATTTATTTTCCATCTAATATATAGCTTCCTCTGTCTCTAAAACTCGCATGGAAGGGAAATGCTGACACTTTTTTCAGTTACTGCTGTTGTGTAGTGGAAAACCTTGGGCTGTGGCCCACTATTAGGCCATGAACTGTTCAGAACCGGGCTGCAGATGCGTTGGGGTGTGCATGCGCGTGCATCCCCACTTGCGCGAGCAGCGGGTGAACATGCCCGCTGCTGATGCAAATGGAGCTGTGTGGGCACATGCGCTTACTGGCCGCTCACGCAGAACCATCCACTCCAACCCCCCCACACACACCCCGGCTGGTCTGCAAAGCTGGAAAGGTTGGGGAACTCTGCACTAAATTATTATATTTTTTTACAGAATTTTTGAAAGTATGGGAGTCCTCTCAAGATCTAGATGCTAGAGATTCTAAAACCCAAGCAACTCTAGACAACGTTTGGCTTTAAAAGTCACGTCATTGTTTAAACAATTATCAGGGAACTACTGGCTGTATTTAAGTAGACCTTTACAAGGACTTTTCCAGAGAAAAAAACTAGAAAGTCGGTAAGTAATCCATGTCAAAAACTCAACATTTAGCTCTATATTGTAAACATAGTTTTATTGCCATTCACTCACCACAAGGTAATTTCTCCTCTCAACCATGAGAAAATCAAGGTGGTAGCCTATGTAGGCATGTGTGAAGACTACATGCCACTGTTCTTTATAACTAGCTCTACTTCTTAGACTGACAGTCCCAAATGTGCTCATTTCAAATGGACGCTATTTATGATTGTCCCCCCAAAGTTCACCCTGGAGAAAAAAGATATTAAATTAGAAAGGGCTGAGTCCATCCAACCCAGTAGATACAAACACAAGTACTGAGCTTAACATTGGAGTAATAGTATTAGTTCATAAATTAAAAAATACAAAAAACCCCACATCTATTTCAATCTTTTTTTTTCCTCTTCAGAAACTGATTCAGATTGATAACTGTCCAGCCTATATGCGTAGAAACTCCATGTCATGTCTTCCCAACTTTTATCCATTTATTAAAGAAAGAGAAAAAAAAACACTATCAAATAAACCCACACCTGGTCTTCTGCATGCCTGGAAGATATGTACAAGGCAAAAGTTCCATTCAGTTTAAGCATCCAGTTTTTCAGTAATTTCAACGCTTTTCCTCCATTTTTCAAAAAAAAAAAAAAAAAAGGAAGTGAATATTTTGAGCTTCTGATGCAGGTTCTTTCGTTGGAAGGTTCTCCACTCAGGAAATGGAGAGCAGAAAATGCCAATAAAATAGATGTCATCTTCAGGGATCAGAAAGCTGCTGCAGACACATCTGGATTTGCTACAAATATTCTAGCTCAAGCGCGTGCCGCAGAGCCTCGAGATCAGCATGGCAGGAGATCCTCCAGAAAGGCATGTTGTGCTAAAATGATGCATTTTTAAAAAGGAAAAAAAAAAAAAAGAAGTTCAGAAGATGTTTTTGAACTGGTAGTCTAATTGTTATCATCTTAGAAATACATTAATCAAACTTAAATCATTGTAGAATTGTAAAGCAATTTGAGAAATGGACAGAAAATAATAATGTACAGTGGTATGTGTGGAAGGAAACAAGACCAATTGTCACGATTAGAAAGAGTGCAGAGAAGAGTAACAAAGATGATTAGAGGACTGGAGGCTAAAACATATGAAGAAGGGTTGCAGGAACTGGGTATGTCTAGTTTAATGAAAAGAAGGACTAGGGGTGACATGATAGCAGTCTTCCAATATCTCAGGGGCTGCCACAAAGAAGAGGGAGTCAAGCTACTCTCCAAAGCATCTGAGGGTAGGACAAGAAGCAATGGGTGGAAACTAATCAAGGAGAGAACTAAGGAGAAATTTCCTGACAGTTAAACAATTAATCAGCAGAACAACTTGCCTCCAGAAGTTGTAAATGCTCGAACACTGGAAGTTTTTAAGATGTTGGATAACTATCTATCTATCTATCTATCTATCTATCTATCTATCTATCTATCTATCATCTATCTATTTATTTATTTATTGGTTCGATTTATATTCCGCCCTTTTCCAGAGACTCAGGGCAGCTTACAATGCATTAAGCAATAGCCTTCATACTTTTTGTATATACCTGCTTAGTAGGGCTTTCGGCCCCCCCAAGCGGTGTTCTTTTTTATACAAAGTCAGTTTATTGCCCCCACAAACTGGGTCCTCATTTTACCTACCTCGAAAGGATGGAAGGCTGAGTCAACCTTGAGCCTAGTGAGATTTGAACTTGCAGTAATTGCAGGCAGCTGGTGTCACTTAACAGTACTTAACAGTGCTTTAGTCTGCTGCGCCACCAAGGCTCTTTTGTTTGTCTTTCTGTCTGTCTTTCTGTCTGTCTGTCTGACTGACTGACTAATGATTTATAAAAAGATAATGAAACTAGTTTCTCAGATCCCTTTCACACAGCATATCCCTCAGTGATTTCAAAAATGTTTCCTCTATTGTGGAGCTCCATATGAAACAGGTCACGTTGAAAAGGTTCTTACTACATGCATCAGAACTGCATGTAGACAAAAAAAGTAGAGAATTCTGATACCAAATTGCAAGTGGCTATCTTTTGGGGGAAAGGTAATTTATTGTAATTTGGCTTTAATTTCTTTTTTTTGTAGACATTTTGAGAAAGCCAAAGGCAGAAGGATCAAACTGTTTTTAACTTCAAAGAGAAAACTGTCCTAAATCTGTACACCAACATTTAGCAATAGCAATAGCACTTAAACTTATACACCGCTTCACAGTGCTTTTACAACCTTCTCTAAGCGGTTTACAGAGTCAGCATATTGCCCCCAACAATCTGGGTCCTCATTTTACCCACCTCAGAAGGATGGAAGGCTGAGTCAACCTTGAGCCTGGTGAGATTTGAACTGCCAAATTGCAGGCTGCCGACAGGCAGAAGTAGCCTGCAGAACTGCACTCTAACCACTGTGCCACCACAGTTCTTTGTTCCAATCTACCTAGAAAACACTTGTCCCTCTTCTACAATTTGAAAATAAGGTTCAGGAGATCAACTGGAGCCTATTATCAAAATAGAGAGCATTGGCAGTTAACTCATTCATTTTTGTTTTCAGCTTTCAGTTTTCCTAAACAAGTAGTGTGTATTGCATTTTGTTTCACCTCTACTGCTAGGTAGATAAATCACAAACCACTTAAGCAAGATTGCATGTGTAGATCTAAGTATATATTAGCTTTGTCCTGTTATATGCTTGTTGCATAGGGATAAACACCAGCCTTCCCTGATGTCTTCCAGAGGCACTGGGTTTACAGCATCCAGGGTTCATAATTGAATTTTGATAGTAACAGTCTTAATAATGTGTTTCAGCAGCAAGTTGAAAAATACTGGTCTACGATTTCCAATTGTTGTATTCTGGTTGAGATGACTTCTGGCTCTTTATTATGCAAGTGCTATTTGATGCAGACTTCTATTATCCACATTTTAAAAGATGTAGGAATTTATTATCTCAGGACAATTCAAATCTGAATTTTGTGTCAATTTTAGCAATGCACCATTAAAGCAAGTCTAAATCCAAGTCTAAAGCAAGTCTAAATCCAGCCTACTCATGACTGAACCGCAGAATTTTGATGTCAATTAATCATTTTGTTCTTGTTCTTTGACCAGAGCTGCTACTGCATAACAATACATTAATTCATAAAAAGTGGGAAAGTAATTAATGAGACAGAAAGCAGAATGTTCTGCTTTCAGATTGAGGAAAATCAAATCTCTGCTCAGGTATGTGGATCTCTGATGTAGATGGTGAGAAGAAGAAATGAAATAATTTCATATAATCTGTTGGATGAAATTGATGGGTGATAGCACAAAATAAATGATTAGAAAACAGCTTTTGCTTAAAGGAAAGAGTGTCAGTCTCATCCATGCATTCATCTGCTGTTTCCATGTGGCTTAGTTGCCTTTTAAAATATCTATTTTAATTTCTCTAAAGAGAGGAGATGTTGGCAGTTCAGCCACACCTGCTACTTAGTTGCTATCAATTTATCATGTGGGCGACAGGTGAAGAGAAATGACTCACTCAGGCTGAGATACCATCAGTGCTGCTGGGGAGGCAGTGAAAGGTGCCCTCCTTCCCAAGGGCTTATAAAGCTCAGGTGTGTAGCCACCCGTGCTAATGATCACTATCAATCAAAGGCCCTGACAGATCCAGCGAAAAATGCTTTCCTGTTAATGGGGAGGAGGCTTAAAGCAGGCGACACCAGCCAAGGGGCCTCTTGGAGCAGACTTGCAAAAGGTATTGCTTAACTCTTCGGTTAAGGCCTGGTGGTCTTTGATGCAATCATGTGCACTGACCCAGTTGCTTTTTGAAGTCCACAGAAGCCCCGTCTGAGGCCTCACTCTTATCATCCCTTCACTTTTCATCTCTCCGTTGTAGACCTTTTTAAACTCTTGGTGAACCACCATGTTTGCTTGAGAAAGGCCCAGCTTGTAAAATACAGTTATGTGGCTAAAGAAAGAAAATTGCTGAATACCGGAAAAGTGAAATCTACACCTCTGGTTTAGAGAAAACCAGAAATGGGAGAAAGGGGTCCGAAGAGTTTGGTGCAGAGTTTTGAAATGCTATAGAGCTGTGGATCATTAGACCACCAAAGACATGAGTTTTCCTCCTGAGCTCTTAGGGTGTCATAACAATACGGAGAAAGGCTGAAATTGGGGGAGGAGTAGAAAAAGTAATTGCTCTTCTCCTCTCCTCTATAACTTTCTTCTTCTCTTTACTTCCACTAGAAGTGAACTGAGTGAACTAAAGTCCAACAGTATCAATTTTCTTCTAATTTTCTACCCAATACTTTAAGGTAAAGGTTCCCCTCGCACATATGTGCTAATCATTCCTGACTCTAGGGGGTGGTGCTCATCTCCGTTTGAAAGCCATAGAGCCAGCGCTGTCCGAAGACGTCTCCGTGGTCATGTGGCCGGCATGACTGAACGCCAAAGGCGCACAGAACCCTGTTACCTTCCCACCAAAGGTGGTCCCTATTTTTCTAATTGCATTTTTTACATGCTTTTGAACTGCTAGGTTGGCAGAAGCTGGGACAAGTAATGGGAGCTCACCCCATTACGCAGCACTAGGGATTCAAATCGCTGAACTGCCCACCTTTCGATCAACAAGCTCAGCATCTTAGCCACTGAGCCATCGCGTCTCTGCACACCCACTATTTTAGTAGTGGTCCAAATCTCCCTTTCTGTATTGTTTGCCTGTGAAAGTTATTTCACTTTCTAGCATTTAAAAACATTAGAAGACCAGATCTTGGACCATCATGTTGTTCAACTATGTCCTCCGCTGTTACCAGGGGTGAAATCCAGCAGGTTCTGAAAGGTTCTGGAGAACCGGTAGCGGAAATTTTGAGCAGTTCAGAGAACCGGTAAATATCACCTCTGGCTAGCCCCCGAGTGGGGTGGGAATGGAGATTTTGCAGTATCCTTCCCCTGCCATGCCCACCAAACAATGCCCACCAAGCCGCACCACACCCCCAAGCCACGCCCACAGAACCAGTAGTAAAAAAAAATTGGATTTCACCACTGGCTGATACTCTGACTCTAATCCAACATTATCTGTTTTATTTTTGTGAAAATTGCTGCCAACCATGGCTGGATATTTACATTTTTGTTATATAGCTTTTTTGTGCATGTATATGTGTGTGTATTGTTACACAAATCCAGTCTCATTTGTTATTTTTCAGTTGCTGCACAAGTTAAAAAAAGAAAGAAAATAATACATACTAGAGAAAACTAATGTCTTATGAAATTACTTTGCTAGCTTCCATTTCATGGTGCTGTATTTAATCCCACTTGCTTTTAGAAGTGTAATCGAAAGTAGAAAGTAGAAATGAGCAAGGACAGGTTATGATACAGATCTTGCTCCTTATTATGCATTCAACAATGGTGCTGTTAATCAAGAGTAGTATCTGTAACAAGTAAAAATTTGTTGGAAAGATTTCAATAACTGCCAAGGGAAATGAAAGCAGGCTATACAGTAGGAAATTGGTTAGAATGCTTTATTGGATTTTTAAACTTGAAAAATTGAATACTTCCAAATGCCTTAGAAAGGGAAGAGATTTTTGTCTTATTTCAGGTAAATTCTTTTTCATTTTTTCTTTAACTGGAATTCTAAATAGGAAACTATACCTTTTTGGCCCCCTGTTCCTCTTCAACACCATCTCCTATTACAATGTACACAGCTTTCCGCCCGAACCTCTGCATTATCCTTTCAAAACAGCTTTCTTTCCCTGTGTAGGAAAGGACAAGCATTAAATATCTTTGCAATAGAACTGTGAGCTAAAGCTAAGCCTTGATATTATTTCATTGATTCATTGATTCATTCACTCATTCATTCAATGTATATCAGATTTTTTACTCTGACAAAAAGTCTAGGAGTTAAGGCACCAGGCTAGAAATCAAAAGTCCATGAGTTCAAGTCCCCTCTAGCCATGAAAGCCAGCTGACTAATTTTGGGCCAGTCAGTTTCTCTCAGTCCAACTCGTTTCAAAGGATTGTTGTTGAAGGGAAAGAAGAAAGATGCAGGTGTGTTGGATATGTTTGCTGTCTTAAGTTATTTGTAAAAATAATAAAGGTGGGGTACAAATAAAATAAGTAAATAAATTTCTAAGGCAGCTGTTTGCTTTCTCCATTGGTTTTTAGGGATGGGTTCATCCATCTATTTATTTTCATTGCCCCAAGGGATCGGATCCCATATATTTCCATAATAAAATACAAATGGAAATGAAAGGAAGAAGAGACACTCTACGATAGATATTGCTTGTAAAAGATGATTAAAATAAAACCTTCAGTACACAGTCCTGCCAGTATCTCTATACATAAATTGGAACAACCTACAATTCAATTATTTGCTAACCAACTAAACAAACTGGTGATCCAAACTATTATTCTATGCATTTCCTGCCTTATTGTTACTCATATTCTCATCTAAAATAAGAGCAATTAGCCATACCACATTATGATTTACCTCCGGCTGATATAACTATTATCCATATAAACTGCTGCTTTTTTTACACTGTCTTAAGACTAAGCAAGTAATGGAATCAAAGGGCAGTCTCTACGAAGTGACAACTCGGAGTCTCATCATTATAAGCACCCTGCTAGAGCTATCTAAATTATATAATGATAATGATGTGTTCTGTAATAATTTTGAAAATCTGCACCTGCATTGGGGAACGATAACTAGAACAATAAATTCCCAAATCATTTGGGCAAAAGGAACCATCACTAATGCCAATTTCGTTCATCAACAAATTCTTATCTTCACTGTACTAGAAAGCATTCAAGAGATCAGAATCCAATATAAGTAGTCCTTGACTTACGACCACAACTGAGCCCAAAATTTCTGTTGAGACATTTGTTAACTGAGTTTTGCCCTATTTTCTTGCCACAGTTGTTAAGTGAATCACTGCAGTTCATAAATTAGTAAGCTAATTTAAGTGAATCTGGCTTCTCCATTGACTTTGCTTGTCAGAAAGTCATAAAAAGTGATCACACGATTCTGGGACAAAGCAAAGGTCATAAATATGAACCAGTTGCCAAGCATCTAAATTTTGATCACATGATCACGGGAATGCTGCAAAGGTCATAACTATGAAAAATGGTCACGTCACATTTTTCAGTGCTGTTGTAACTTTGAACTGTCACTAAACAAACTTTGTAAATCAAGGATTACCAATACTATTTTAAATAATTGGTTCCATTGATCTTTTTATTAGTTTTTCCCAATCATCCAGTGACTAGTAAAATGACTATTATTTTATATCTTGCATTTTGGAACAGTAGAGAACAGATTCTGGCTTTCTTTTACTCGGAGAACTATATCTCAAATGCATATATTGAGAGAGAGGGAAGAAGAGAGAGAGGGAGTGGGAGTATGTGAGCATATCTGTGTTTATATATCTATGTGCTATATCCTGGATTTTCTCCCAAACCTTGAGTAAAGCTCGTTGGACCTATGATGGAAATGTTTGGGGTTGTAGAGGCTGTTAACAGGATTCACTATCCATTCTTGTTCTTTATTTCCTTTTTTATTCCTTTGTTAATGTACTCTATTTTTTTATTTTTTATTTTATTTGCTTTTATTGTACAGTGCCCAGAATCAGTTCAGACGGTGCCTAAATTGAATCAAGTAAATTAAATCTCTGAACAATCAGCAGTATTCAAGGCTGAACATATCCAGTTTTCTCGTAGGTTTTCAGATCCCTGATCATTCTCATTGCCCTTATTTGAACCTGTAATACCAGAACTGGATATAGTACTCGAGGTGGGATTTGAATTATGCAAAGGAGAATGGATGTTATCGTTCCTATCACTTTAAAATCAAATTACTGTTGACAGTCCAATGTTGAATATTAATAAAACAATCATTACAAACCTGCAGTTTTTCAAGGTTGTTCTTACCTGTCTTGGTTGCACTATAAATATTTTCAATGGGGAAGACCACACCTAGTCCATACAACAGAACTTTTGCAAGTGCTGGGATAAGCTGAGTTGTAGTCACCAAAACATTTACACAGTTAGGCCTACAGGACAGAAAGCAGCATCAAAAAGTAAGTTACAGTGGGCCTTTTACTTTCTGCAACAAGGATTTTTGTCTTCCTGCTTTATATTAATCTGGAAACAGTATGTAAGTTTTGCCAACAAGTCCCATGAAATCAGTGATTAACACAGCTAATAGTGACTAGATGTTTTTTCTTTCTGTGTAATTTGTTAGAACTAAAACTAGTCCAAATGTGAAATATGCCATAGTTAAGTACACAATAGGGATATAAATGGTGTAAAACTTCAATAGCATTGACCCTGTGTTCCTGTTGGGGTAGCCAGTTTCTGGAAAGGGGAAAGGAATGAGCCAGGAATGAGACCTTTGGAACTAGTTCCTCCACCCATGTCCATAAATTTGGATGAAGATGTCCTTGAAATTAATATGCCTTTGGAGAACACAGGAGAGAAGTAAAACTTTTGCAGCCTGGGAACAACTTGTTAAGTCACTCTTACCGGGAATGTATCAAATCCAACGCTTTCAAAGCATGTGTTAGCCAGAGATCAGTGAGTGCTTCCAGTTCTGCTCTTAACTGCAGCCAGCTTTCCCTCTTAGGAGCTCCTATTAAACCTACAAAGGAAGCAGCATGTGTAGTTAGTTCCATGGGAAGACTCAGTACATGGAATCACTTCTATGTGGCTTCTGCAAAGCCTGGAATCACAGGTTGAATAGAATAGAATGAGTTGGAAGGGACCTTGGGGGTCTTCTAGTCCAACCCCCTGCTTAGGCAGGAAACCCTACACCACTTCAGACAAATGGTTATCCAACATCTTCTTAAAAATTCCAGCGTTGGAGCATTCACAACTTGTTCCACTGACTAATTGTTCTAACTGTCAGGAAATTTCTCCTTAGTTCTAAGATGCTTCTCTCCTTGATTAGTTTCCATCCATTGCTTCTTGTCCTACCCTCAGGTGCTTTGGAGAATAGCTTGACTCCCTCTTCTTTGTGGCAGCCCCTGAAATATTGGAATGGTTGGGTATGGAATGAACCGGAAAACTTGAGCTCAAAAGGAAAGGGCCCAGTCATCCAATGTTAATAATGTTAAAATTAAAACATTAAAATTATTTCAAGAGTAGTACAGTAATAGAAATAAAAATTGATTAGAGGAAGAACATTCCTGTCTGCAACAACCTCTTTGTAGGTGAGTTGCTGAAGTCCCACCGTGGCACTCGTACAAGAGAGGAAGCAAGGATTACATCTATATATGTATACTCATGCTTGATAATGATCATACAATTTGAAGTGACCTTAGTCCAACCACTGGTTGAGTGCAGGATCCATTAGACTAGCTGACAGATGACCATCTAGCAAAGCAGGACTCACAATTAAATGTGGCAGTCTGTTTCACTGGATTGCACCTTGTACAGTCAGGAGATTCTTCCTCATGTTTAGGCTGAATCTCCTTTTTGTTGTTGTTGTTTAAGTCATTGGTGATTTTATTTTCCTGGGCTCCAAGATCACCGCAGATGGGGACTGCAGCCACGAAATTAAAAGGCGCTTGTTCCTGGGGAGGAAAGCTATGGCAAATCTAGACAGCATACTGAAAAGCAGAGACATCACCCTGCCAACAAAAGTGTGTATAGTCAAGGCTATGATTTTCCCAGTTGCAATGTATGACTGTGAAAGTTGGACCATAAGAAAGGCTGAGCGCCAAAGAATTGAGGCCTTTGAACTATGGTGCTGGAGAAGACTCCTGCAAGTCCCTTGGACTGCAAGGCAATCAAACCGGTCAGTCCTAGAGGAGATCAACCCTGACTGCTCAAATACTCAAATACTTTGGCCACCTAATGAGAAGGAAGGAAGGACTCACTGGAGAAGAGCCTAATGCTGGGAAAGATTGAGGGCAAAAGAAGAAGGGGACGACAGAGAACAGGATGGCTGGATGGAGTCACTGAAGCAGTCGGCGTGAGCTTAAATGGACTCCAGAGGATGATAGAGGACAGGAAGGCCTGGAGGAACGTTGTCCATGGGGTTGCGATGGTCGGACACGACTTCGCAACTAATAACAACAACTCATTGATTATGGTCTGTTCTTTGGGGCAACAGAGAATAAGACCCTTCACTTTTCTATGTGACAAATCTTAAGACATGCTATCATATTTTGTCTCTGTTGTCTTTTCGGTAGACTAAACATTACCCAGATCATTTAACCATCTCATAGCACTTGCTTTCCAGATCCTTCACTTCCTCTGAAGTGGCTTCACTTTGTAACTGCCCATGGTGCCAGAACTGGCCACAGTATTGCAAGTGAGATCTCTCCAAGGCAGAACAAAATGGAATTACTTCCCTTGATAGACATTCTATGATATTGTTAATGTTACCCAAGATAGTGTTTGCCTAGAATCTGATTCATGAGAATTATTGTCACCAGAAGTGTTAGTATGAAATTGTTAACATGTTTCATTTAATATGTCGGTGGATAACTAAAAAGAGACAATTTAGTTTAACTGTTAATATAATATTTAACAATTTAAATTTAATATAATTTGAACTGTTCATTGCTGTTATCTTTTAAGATCGTAGCAGTTTACATTTTTTTACAAATAATATACATGAAAATAAAAAGATCTTCAAGTTCTTACACAGAGAGCTTTATCCATTTTTTTTTTAAAAATGGGACTGTTAAGGACTAGTTCACATATTATGTTTAACCACGTTCAGTGAACTTATCCACTATATTGTTTTATCTAGCCCAAGCAGTGTGCTGGCCAATCAAAATTTCATAGTGTTTCTCAAGACACAAAATCCCTCCATTTTCAACTTATAATAAAAGGCAGAATAGAGAGTCATGAGCCTTTTGTTTCAATCACCCAATATTCAAACCGCAGAAAGCTCCATTGATTCTACTAGATGAACCACAGGAAAAGTAGAAATTCATAAAACATTTTCTCTCCTTTGATGTTTCCATCTCTTTCTAAATTACAGTGTTCTTTGATTTGCTCTAAAGAACAGAAAAGCAAGTTCTTAGGGAGATGAGAAGCTGACTTTCCTGATGGGTTGGGGAGACACTTACCACCAACATTGTTTTTGTAGGTGTTGTAGAGTTCTTTCACTCTCCGGTAGCGGAATGCTAATTTCCTCATCCAATCAACTCCCCCGTGAACTCCGGAGCCCAGACAAAGATTTGCTCCAGTATTTGAACTGTGAAAACCATCTGCTGAGAAATTATATGTGCTGTAGCAAAGGAAGGAAGAGAAGGAGAAGAAATGAAAATAATAACCTAATTTTCCATTAGGATTGAGAAACTAGCAAAGACAAATGAAGAGAAATTAAGACATGTTGTAGATTTCTGGCCAAGTTAAGGACAGGGGGGTAGGGAATCTCATGCTGTTTTCCCCTCCCCATTTCTCTCCTAACTGTGCTGTCTTTGCCAGTGATGTAGCTGTCATCTGATGTACCTTAATTCACTGTTGGTACAGGGAATCAAATCTTCAGTAAGCTTCCCAGACTTCCAGCGTTAACAAAAAGAAAGGATAAGACAGTGTTGGCGAACCTTTTCAACACTGAGTGTCAAAATGGGAGTATGCATGCACACAGGGGGAGCACCACAAACCGGAAGAGCAGCTCCCCGGTGTAGACACGTGGGAGTGCCAGAAACTGGAAGAGCAGTTCCCTGGCGCGCATGCGTGTGCTGGGAAACTGAGCTTCCAGTTTCTGGCATGTGCATGTGCAGCAGTCACCTGGACTTCCGGTTTCTGGCACACATGCACGTGTAAAGACCAGCTGGCCAGCGTGCATGCGCATGCTGGAAACCAGAAGCTCAGCTTCCCAGTACACACATGCGCACCAGGGAGCTGCTCTTCTGGTTTCCGGTACTCCTGCACGCGCGAAGACCAGCACCAGAACCCGAAAGAGCAACGGGCGACAGCTGGTGTGCCTTGAGAGATGGCTCTATGTGCCACTTCCGGCACACGTGCATAGGTTCACCATCATGGGGTTGAGACAACGATTCCAGTTTATTAGTAAGTTGTTTTGTGCAAGGCCACTGAAATAAGAGTTTTCAAAAACTCTTGTTCAGCTCTTGAGTTTTTAAAACAATGAAAGACTAATTGCACATCAGTCCCCATGCTGCCGCCTCTTCGGTCCTATTTTTTTTAAATACTCCCAATTATATGACTTGCACTGAAAGCAAGTAGTCAAAGTACTCAGATGTGATAAAATACAGTTTCCTTCCAGTCTAGTTTGTAGTGCTGGCATTTCCTGATGGCCTCCTATCAGAACTAATCAGGTCTAATTCTGCTTAGCTTTTCAAAATCTAGAGGATTAATTGAGATATAAGGGATATATCTATTTCACTTCTGAACAAATTCACTTTTGACCGCCACTGAAAAACAATACAATGATTTTCCTATCACGATACAGAAATTCTAATATTCTAATATTCAAAAGCATAAAAGATTTCCCAACATGGACATGAATTTGTGCCATGGCTTTTCTTCCTGACAGCAATATGTATTATTGAGTCTAGCTATACTGGATTCTTCAAGATTGGGTTGTCTTACCTTAAATCTTGTCCATTGTCATCTGATGATACATCATCTATATGTATCTGGTCACAGTCCTGAAAATCATTTCAGAAACAGTCAGGAAACAAATACGGCATTATGAAAAACAACTTTGCTGAGAGAAGATTCCACAACAATTTCTGCTCAATTATGGTAATCAGATTTCAAGCAGCATTTCAGATTAAACATTTCTGTAACATTATATGGTTATACTCGGTAATACTCATAGACAATAAGTTCACTCATAGAACTGTTTATTTACCTAAGGTTCCCTTGTTTTTTATTCATTTCAGGAAATAAAGGAACATAAAAATAAATAAAATAATTATAAATAGGAGTTCTATATAAATCATACCCTGTGTTTCCCCAAAAATAAGACCCTGTCTTATATTTTTTTGAATCCTGAAATAAGCCTCATTGCCATGCGCTCAAAAGCCCGATTGGGCTTATTATCAGGGGATGTCTTATTTTGGGGTAAACAGGCTAGTTTTACAAGTCCAAGTGGGTGAGTTCACACATGCTAAAGAACTAGAATAGGGATAGAACAGAAGTTATGATGCCAGAATTCCAAATTAGCAGGCTATTGAGATGTGCCATTACAGGTAGTCCTTGCTTATCGGCCACTTGCTCAATGAATATTCAAAGTTACAACAGTGCTGAAAAACATTATTTATGACCCGTCCTTGAACTTGCAGCTATCACAGTATCCCCACAGTCACATGATTGCAATTCGGGCACTTGGCAACAGATATGCATTTATGATGGTTGTGACCTTCACAGATGGCTTCTCACAAGCCAAGTCAATAGGGAAGATTTCAAAAAGTTGCAAGTCATGGTCAGGTGTCATCAGACATAACGACACTCAATGATTCACTTAACAGCCTCAGCCAGAACTGATGAATTGTAAGTCGGGCGCGATCATATGATTTCAGTTTATAATTGCATTGCTTAACAACAGAGTTGCCAGTTGTAATAGCGGTTGGTGAGTGAGGACTACATGCACTATATATGCATTTACATACAAATATAATTTCTATTTCTGAAAAACCTTGTACTTTTACTGGTGTGCCTTCTTAGACTTTCTTAGAAACATTTTAAAACTTAGAACATTCTCTATCTTAAAAACTCAGCATTCACTTTAGCACTCCTGTAGACTTTAACAGATAAAAACATTTTTGCTGTGGGAAAATCTGACATAGCAATTCCATACTGATTGTTATATTTATAGTTCCTTCCTTCCTCAATCTTTTTCAGGCTGCATATTAAGTCAGGGCTGACTGTAAAAAACATGGCCTGACAAAATGGAATTAAAAGCACTTTTGAGACAATTAAAAGCACATTTCTATAATCATGCTCCCAGGCTTTCCAAAATGATAAAACCATTCACAACCATGCATGTGAATTTTGAAAGCCACATTGGAACAATATTGTCGCAGCCCACTCAACTTCAGTTGCTCTGAGCAGCACAGCTATGTCAGGGGAAAGGTATTTGAGGAAGATCTGCTTTCTTCATTTGTGAATGAACTGTTCGCTAAGCTAAACTTTGACAACAGTAGCGATCACATTTCTGACTCAATAAAGTACCATGACACTTGGTGAGACACTACCTCATAGTCCACTGCTGACTGACACTATCATGTTACTGGGCAAAACGCAGCAAAACTGAACAAGGCAAGAATGTAGATCATAGTTTTACTCCATTACTATGTTACCAGACTAATTTTTCATTCTTGCAGATTTTGCTTTTGAGACTTGTTGAGGAAGGCAGGAAGAAGTGAACATCTGGGTGATTGAATGTAAAGCTCAAGTTTTTCTCAAATACAGAGTGGTAATGAGTTATTTCTAAGTGCAGGGTTCACATCTGTTAGCCTTAATTGATATGCTAAGATCTTATACTGTAGAGTTCTTTGATTAGTGGATATCATGCTGGCCACGTGGGCAGTTAAAATAAACATGGGCACGACTTTTGGTCTCCCAAATCATGTGTTATCATCGTGTTATCATATTTAGAACATTTCATTGGGTAATGAAAATAACTCTACAAAAGACAGCATATACTCAGATGAACCCTTGGATTTTATCCATAAGGAGTAATAGGATAACAAAATTCAAACGAACAATCAGGTCCAAAACATTTTGGAAAAAAAAGCCCCATAAAATTGCAGATTCAACTAAGAAGTATCACAATGACATCAACAGTATCAATTACAAATAGTAAATATTTTTATTTGCTAGATAAATAATTTATTAGACTTGATAAAACATTACCCATATATTCCATTATATAATCTGATGAGTTCTCTACTTAAATTTCATTAATTTTATTTACTTAACGTTATTTCGAGGGTATTCCAATCCCAAAGGATTCGAATTCAGGTAAGTTTATTGCAGTCATTAATCAGCAGAAATCCCAAAGTATTAAATTTGCAGAGGAAAAAAAAGTAAAAAACCCTAAAAATTACAGCAACAAAACAGTTCAATATGTTGCTGAATTTCTTTTGCAGAATTGTGGCATACCGGGGGGTGGGGGGGAAGGGGAGGGGCTACAAAGAATTAATGAGACAAGTCTCCAAACCTGATTTAAATTATTGTTTTTAACTAAAATACAGTTTATTCCAATGAGGCAAACTGAATTAACTAATGAAATAGTTAATATGTCAACTGGGATTTTAAAAAAATACAAAACCAAGTTGAGATTACACCTGAAGGAACTTCCTATGCAACTGAAATAACAAAAGGTTATGTTGCATCTGAGCAAAATCTAAAAACCTAATCTGATGCCTCATCCCTCATACAATTTCATACATACTAATATACAACTGTGCTTGTGGGATAAAATCAGTTGTGCATCCCTTCCTAAACCACTTGGTGGTGGTGTGGCATATTTCATGCTTAGTGTTCTCTTCTTTCTAGAATTTTTCCTGCTTTAGGTCAAACTCTGAGCATCTAATGTACTGTATTGTTTTTAAGATTGTAGTCCAGACACCAGGTCTACCAATCTAACAAACTCTCATCATTTCCTCTGATCAAAAGTTCCTGGAAGCATTTCTTCCTGCAGGTCCTAAATTTGTCCTAAAGGAGTAAAAGCAAGCTGATGGGGAAAGCACTTTTTCTCAGAAAAATGACCCTCAAAAAAAAATGCCAAGCACCTGCTCTCCTTCAGTTTTAGTCAATGTATTTCTGTCTACGCTGTCTCCTACATCTCATCCAGTTTGAATCCTGAGAGATCCACTCTAACCAGAATTTGGGCATCGGTTTCCATCAACTGTCACACAGTATTTCCTCCTGTAGAACCGCCAAACAGATGAATTGAGACTGTTGACTACTTCCCTGGCTCAAAATTTGGGGGACTTCAGTATGACTACAACAATTAGGTACCAGGAATTAAGGAATGAAGAGGCCAGTGATATTTTTAAGAGGTGAAAAATGAGACTTTTTTGGGGGGGATTTTACGTTCTTTTGACACAGACAAGAAAAGAAGATCAGATTCTAATCTGATCTGATCTTCACATTTAAACATATTTTTAATTAATGTTCATGTCTTTTTCTGCACAACAACCCTATGAGGTCGGGGAGAGAATGAGTAACCCAAAGTCACCCAGCTGGCTTTCATACCTAAGGCAGGACTAGAATTCAGAGTCTCTTGGTTTCTAGCCTGGTGCCTTAGCCACTAGATGTAACTGGCTCTTAGTTGAAATGGAAAAAAAACATTAATTTTTTAAAATCTTTTTTAAAAAAATTCTTTTGATATTTGCCATTAAAGAAAGGTAGATCGTCACTGATCAGAAGAAGTGTATTTGTCCCATTTCTAATGCCTCTGGTGTTTTAGTATCCAAAACCACAAGCCCTCAGCCAAATTATCTTTGATTTCAGCCTCTAAGTAGCAAAGAAATGAGGGCCAAATTGCATGATACATTTTTTATTAATTATAAACAGCAGTCACTAAGGGAAGTACAATTAGGAATGGAACTATAATTCAAAGAGAGGGGCTGAATATTCTATTCTCAATCTTGGCAGCTTTAAGATGTGTGGACTTCAATTCCCAGAATAACCCCTATATAATGAAAATCTTTCTTTTCTTTCCCTAAACAGGGGAAGTGAAGTTATATCAGGACCAATCACCTGTAAGGCGTCTCTCTTACTTCCCATGATTTTTGTACTCCCCCACCCCGTGTGTGTGTGTGTGTGTGTGTAAGTGTGTGTGTGTGTGTGAGAGAGAGAGAGGGGAGGGAGGGACGGAGAGAGAGGGGGGGATATTTTCACTAGGATAATTGTTCTAAAGATTTTCAGTCTATATTTCGCATTTAGCGCCATTCTGATCAAGGGTCTCCATAGTTTCTATTTATAAGTTTTTTAAAATTAACGAATTAACAAAAAAACAAGTTTCGGGGAGATCTGCACATTCGTTTCCATCTTGAAATATCCCAGTTCCACTGAATTCACTCTATTATTATATTGTATACTATTATTATACTGTATAGTGTATACTATTATTATACTGTATTCACTGAAGTGAATGCTACCCTGTTTCCCCCAAAATAAGACATCCCCTGATAAAAAGCCCAATAGGGCTTTTGAGCACATGGCAATAAGGCCAAGCGCTTATTTCAGGGTTCGAAAAAATATAAGACAGGGTCTTATTTTCGGGGAAACACGGTAATAAAAATCATACACTGGGACTTTTGCAGGCATTTTACTTTGAAAATAGGTAAAATTTTGATTTAAAGTATTAGTAGGGAGAAATTACTATGAATAAGTAGAATCTAATAATAATTATAGGTGCAATCTAAATATTTATGAAAATAAATTGATGTTATAAAATTGTTTATTTTCTTTGGTAACCTATTAAAAGGAATGCTATGTTATCCATGGATATTTCAACCACAACACAACGCAAACTGCTCCATTCAGCTGGGTAAACTAAACTGAGTATAATTTTAGCTCTGTAACTTTATTTTGTGGTTGTGTATAGCACATTCATTTTAGTCAGAGGACCCAGTTTGCCACATGTGTCATTATACTGGAAATGCCCAGATTCTGAATACACAGCTCCCAGTTGTTAAATTTTGTGCTTAACATATTAAACTTTAGCTATTATTTAATCTAGTAAAGCACTGTAACAGTCTAAAGTATTTTAAAACTGTCTTTAGATTTGTGAATTCCAGATTGGTAAAAGAGAAAGAAAAAGAGAAAATGTTTAGCTGACAACACCTAACACTGCCTTCCATTGAGGACCTGTATACTGCACGAGTCAAAAAGAGGGCTGTGAAAATATTTACAAACCCCTCGCATCCGGAAGATAAATTGTTTCAACTCCTATCCTCAAAACAACGCTATAGAGCACTGCACACCAAGACAACTAGATACAAGAACAGTTTTTTCCCGAACACCATCACTCTGCTAAAAAAATAATTCCCTCAACACTGTCAAACTATTCACATTAGGCTGCATTACTATTGCTATTGGTCTTCTCATCGTTCCTGTCGCCCATCTCCTCTCACTTGTGACTGCATAACTTTAACTTTGTTGCTTGTATCCTTGCGATTTATATTTATATTGATTGTTTTCTAGTATGATTTGGTTGCTTATTGTACCCTATGACTATCATTAAGTGTTGCACCTTATTATTCTTGATGAATGTATCTTGTCTTTTTATGTACACTGAGAGCATATGCACCAAAGACAAATTCCTTGTGTGTCCAATCACACTTGGCCAATGAAGAATTCTATTCTATTCTATTCTATTCTATTCTATTCTATTCTATTCTATTCTATTCTATTCTATTCTATTCTATTCTATTCTATTCTATTCTATTCTATTCTATTCTATTCCTTTTATCTCCATGCGTGGCCAAGATGAGGCAACTATTTCCATTTCATTATTATTAACTAGCTTAGTGACTTCCATACTTCTTAGTAACTATCATACTTCCATAATACTGTATTATGAAACAGGAAAATTACTGAAGCAAACATGTATGTATATCTGCTTTAGTTTTCTTTTCCTAACTTTGATACATGGGACATCAACTAAGAATCATCTGCAACCTTTAAAGTAGTCCTCGGTGAAGAAGCCTCAGGCCGTGATTAAGCTGAGCCTTACTCAGAATTTTTTGCTTTGCTTGATAAAAGGAAGAAGGGGAGAAGAAACAAATGATGATTGTTCAAGCCAGCACCTCCAATCTAGTGCCCTCCAATTTTCATAATTCCCAGTTAGACGATAGAAGAAATAAAATGAAACAAAATCAGTACCTACCTCCAGGTCATTAAAGAACAGATGTGTATCTGCAAGATTGAAAATCATTTCTTCCATCATAAGGCCTATCCGAACTGACGTAGTAGTGTCCTATTGGGGAAAAATGAAAGCTATTTATGTTTTTCCATCTATCTGTTTGGACACTCAGAGTAAAAGTTCAAGAAAGTAAATATTATGGGCTTTAATTCTGAAAGGACAATTTTGATGAATAGGCTGTAAGTGCTGTGATTGTGCTCACACTTCTAAAACATTCTAAAAGTTTTTCAAACCTTGTATACCCTTGTTTGTGATAAAAATCCCACCCTATATATCTGCTTTAGTTTTAGTCTAGCCTATAAGCTAGAACCTGTAAATAAGAAGTTGTGTTTTCTGGGTGCTACCAGTAATTACTATGGGTAATTACTAACAATTAGTGCAAAACTAATCAAGAAAAATGCTTGAACCCTGATCCAGGATTCAGGATCCTTGCTTCAAAAATAATTCCATGTAGTGTAAGAACATCACACAAATCACATCAAGTAGCAGCTTCACTTGCTTTGTGATGAGCTCATTTGAATAATTTTGTGCGAATGTAGTACTTTCCATGTAGAATCTCCAGTACCATCTCTGCACTGCTCATTCTCATAGGAATCCTAATTCACATTCTTATTTTCCAAAGGAATAATTTTAATGATAGATGTTAAAGTCAGAGGAACAGATCACCATGAAATTGGGAAATCACATAGCCTTGGATAAGATACTACCACCATATTCTGGCTTAACCTTGAAGGTTGTTGTGATATTAAAAATGTGATTTTGATCTTATTAGAGGGTCACCATACAAATACAAACGCAATGGATTACATGGGCAGCTCAGCCTGGTTTTCTCTTTTAAAAACCTACGCTAGCTTTAAAAATGCAACATCCCCATGAAAGTCAAGTAGCACCGATGTCACACTTTGTGACTCAACACCGATCAGGATGGTTGTGGATAAGAAAGATTATTGTCAGAGATTTACACATGTGGTCCAACTTAGTTTATCCTCCACAATCTGTGCTTTGCTCTGTAATAAATATTCCAAGTTAAAGCTTTGAACAGAATAATCTGTTTGATGCCAGCTTGAAGGGGAACATTTATTAAGTTCCTGAAGCTCCTCTTACTGAAAAAAAGAAAAATTGTTCAACTCATTGCGAGACCATTGCACAGATTAAAGTGAATGTGAACTAAAGAATATGAGTGCATGAAAGGCCTATTTGCAACACTCTGTTGGAGTTCCTCATTTGTGTTTATTAGCATGACTATGAAACTTGCTGTCCCAAAATCACTTCAGGCTCTGAAACCTTGGCTCTTAGTTTTATTTTGAAAACAAACAACCAACAAACATTTGCTTAGATTTGTTTTAAAATGTACCTAGTGGTTTCTCTCTCCGTTTTTTAAATTGTCTGTATCAATTTGGCTGGACTTCTGCATGCAATTTTTCCCCAACTCCCCTTCCTCCATCATCACCAGTACAACCCCTGCTGACATTGTAACAGGAAGTTGGAGGCAAATTTATCTTTGGCAATCTCTCAAACGCAAGTCACTCTTTGTCTTTTCAGTTTGGGCTTCCAAATCATTCACAGTCAGGCTTAGGTTTTAAGTGGTAAACTGTTAAGACTTGTACGCTGCCATTCGTGAATGGCCAAAACTTGAATGCTCTTCCATCTTACCCAGGTGTCAATTCATCTGATATTCCAAATGTTTGTGTCATGAACTTCTACATCTCTTTCAAAAAAAACCAAAACAAGCCATACACACAAAAAGCTCCAAGCACCAGCGACTCTTGTATTGAAACAATCAGACTTTTCTACCTTCCTGCCAAGTACTTGCTGATGCCATGAACAAATAATGACTTTTCCACCAGGAAGAAAGCATTAATTAAGCGTATTTGTCAGATTTCCATTCTGCAGGGTGGAGGGGGGTTTATCTCTTGGAGGTGTCAGCCAAAGGTGAAAGGCAGATTACTGCACAATGCAAGGCCTTCCAAGTTAAATCTCATCTTTGTGGTTAGCTTTTAATAATAAAGTTGTCACCAAAGAGTTTAATGGTTTTAATTTGGTTTAATTACTTGGAAATGGAACCAGTTTGTTTGCTTGTATTAACTAGAAAGAAAGGAGATTGGGAGGGGGAGAAAAAAGAGCTTGCCACATGCCTGAGTGAGGATAGGCTACCTTTATTCTTTAGTTGTCGAGTGTTATGCCTTGATGAGACTATAAGAAAGCAATTATACCACTTAGTATTTAAGCAAGTTTGTTTGAGTTCCAGAACAAATTCTACCTCCCTCCACCAATGCCATTTATTCCTTTCTTCTCTAATTATTTATTTTAAATGTTGCTTAGGGGAATCATTTATGTTAATAAAAGAGTCAGACTGGGTCTCTTTTGACAACTGTTTTTTTATAAGCAGTCATGAATCTTTTCATAAAACAAATTCATATAATGGCAAATTAATGGTTGCCAGGAGGCACAGGCGCAAGCAGAATTAATATAAAATTCTTGTATACAGAGGAAGGAAAAATGCAGCATACTTTCAAATGCTTCACTGGCAGACAGCTGCAGGAGGCCGTCGCAGCTGGAAACGGAGCTTGGGAGCCCATTTTCGCTGGCAGAGCACTCAGGCCCCCGAAGCCGCCCCCCGACACGAGTGACATTAAGCTGGCCATGACCACCCTGGCCACGCCCCTCCCACCCCCCCAAGGTCAAACACAACCCTGATGTAGCCCTCAATGAAATCAAGTTTGACACCCCTGCTCATTCTATTCCAGCTATCTTGCGCTAAATGTGCTATCGTCACAGCCAATTCAAAATGTCTTGAAGCTGCCTGCATTCATTATATGCTTTTATTATTTAGCATTGAATACATGATTTAGCTTCCATCTGCTTAAAGCAAATATTTCCATCTTCCTACAAAAACCCTTCCCAAATTTCATTCATATTGAATTAATCCAGCCAATTTATGAATTAAAGCATATTTATTTTTATAATCTATTTGATAGAGTTCCAAAGAATTGTGCCTTTCTTTTGAAGGCTTGTTCTGCCCCTTTCCCTTCTAAGTTTCATTTTTCAGGAGGGGTGTCCCCTAATAGGCTCCAGTGGCTTTTAATATTCCAAGGTACCCAGCACACATGAGTAACAAAATGTAAATAAACACAGCTGAACCAGGAAGAAGAGTGAAGGTTTTCTCATTAAAGAAATAAAATAAACAGATGTTCTTAAGCACTTTGCCTCATGTTTGTCAAAGGAATGGAGGACTCTTTAGATGTCTGTACAGCTCTGATGGGGCCCATACTTATTAGGCCAATTCCCAAACAAAGCAAAGAATACATGCCACTCTGAATTGGCTAATAGAGGTCAAGGGAGAAGCAGACAAGTTGATCTGAACTCAAACATTGAGAACCTTTACAAACCAAACAAGTGGATTTGACCCCCTACAATTAACTTTTCAAGTGCCAGTTTTTACTTCTTCCTAGTACAGGAATAGTAAAAGTAAAGTCTTAGCTAGTAAAAGTTCAAACAACATTTCCACTGTTTTTCAGATAAGGTATTAATTTTAAGACAAAATTACTTTGGTAACGGCACATTAAATCTCAACTCTAGTAATTTTTATGAGAACTTTTCATGAATGATCCAGTGACAAATTACACTCCATCCTGCTTTATATTTGGAGTTAAGTATATTATAGGGAGACAGGTATTTGAAAAGGGTGCTTAAGAAAGTGATTATTCAGAATATAACTCTATTCTTAACTCATAGGTAACAAAAAGATAACACTTTGTTAAATTCGAATACCTGCCTGGTAAGAATGTCATGAAAAAGACCGTGTAGGGCAGGGGGTCTCAAACTTGATTTCATTGAGGGCCACATCAGGGTTGCGTTTGACCTCGGGGGGTCGGTGCGGGCGTAGCCAGAGTGGGCGTGGCCAGCTTGACGTTACTCATGTCAGGGGTGCCTTTGGTGGCCCGAGTGCTCTGCCAAGCGAAAATGGGCTCCCAATCTCCGTTTTCGACTTGGATGGCCTCCTGTAACCCTCTACCAGTGAAAATGGAGCTCAGGAGGGCCCGCATGAGGCCCTGAGGGCCAGATCTAAGCACCCCATGGCCTGGATCCAGCCTGCGGGCCTTGAGTTTGACACCCTTGGTATAGGCACTATATACCCTTGGTATCCACTATACAGGTGGCAGACCTTCTCCTGGACTTTGGAACTTCTTTGTCTGTCTTTCCAATCTAGCCTGAAATTTTCTGCTGGTTTTCCAGCCAGTTATTAGAAGCCCAAGATTACTTAGGTGCAGACAAGGTAGACTAAGTGCTGCCATTGCTGAGACACTTTCAGCATTTATAAAAAGAAGGGTAGGTACTGGTAGAAAATGTCCATCCCTTCATCTTTCCTTTCCCCTTTTCTTCAAGGGCCCCTACTCTTTCCAGTTTGCAAGCCATTCCTTTAAAAGGGGCTTGGTTGTGCATCGTTGAAGAAGAAGACCGAAAAGAGGGAAGAGTTGGAAAAAAAGTCAAAAAAGAAGATAGAAGAAACTGAGAGCTGAAGTTTCAAAGAAGACACCAGGAATTCATAGGCAATTGAAGGGAATGTTGGTGACAGTGATGTCCTAAGCAAAGCCCAGAGCACTGGCATGGGTGATTAAATGCCCAGCATGCCTTTCCCATGAAATAGGACATAGAGTACCAGCACCAAATGGGCTGAAAAGCTGGCTAATGAAAGACCAAGTGCTGGCAGCACTATATTCTAAATGTCCCATGGCACTGATGAGAATAGGAGCCTTAAAGCACTGTCAATCCCCTCAAAAGGGCCCAGACTGGAGAAACAATGTTCAATGTACACATATGCCATGTCTTAAAGAAACAAGCTAAAATCTATGCTTTGGGACATGTCCCATTTATTGCAAGATTTTGGAAAACCCATAAATTGCCTATTCTGATTGAAACCATACAATATGCCAACAAACAATAACCGAGTTATGATTTTAACACCACTTTATTATTATCCTACCTTCCTGCACTCTCAGCACACCACTGATATATGTGAAGTTAATGGCTCACCACACCCCATAAAATATCTG